TCAAAACAAGCTCCAAACAGGAAGTTGATTTGTTTTCTGTTTCCTGTTTCCAATTGAAGAAGTGCGCTGTGAAAGTTAGTGGTCAAAACGGTATTACACCGAGTTATCATGGAAAAATGAGCATCCGTCTGCATGGAGGAATCCATTTTGTAGCTTTTACTAGCTAGCCTGCGCTCGGTGCGGATCGCGTGACACGTGATGCAATGACGTCACTGCGACGTAATGACGTCACCACGAATACTCAACGTGAAATTTAAAAACTCGATAGATGTCCAAGGAATTGATGTGTAGATTACTCGAGTAGTCTGTTAAAGCCCTAGTCACCAACACATCTAACACATCTCCAACATTTGCAAAATATAGTAATATATTACATTAAATCACAAAGTCTCCATAAAGTTAAAAACATTCTGAGAAGACCTTTAATGGATGATAAAAAAAATAGGGACACAAACTAAAATCAATAAGACAAATACCCCAAAATCACAAAGAGATTCTAAACTAATGTATTCAATACAACATTCAGGAGACTGAACTCCATAAAAGTTTACATTTAGACCAAAGGTCCCTCTAGTATGAAAGTAAACGTTTAGACATTTCTAATATTTAGAGTAAACTTTGGCAAACTCCTGAAAGAGATATGATCCAATTTAGTTCCGTCAAGGGGCTGAAATGAGCTCAAATCTGCTTTGATAATAAAGCCGAGTCAGAAGACGACTCGGCAGTCTGAGGATGGCACACTCAGGTCTCTTATTTTCCAACTCTGAGACGTTCATTATGTCCAATCAAATTCTCTCTTCACTCAAAATGCTTCCACACTCTTTTCCCCCCCATATTTTTATGTTCAAAGCTCATCTCCCAGATAGATTTGATTAATTCCAGCCTCTGACGGGTCCTCTTATTAGATTAAAGATGAGATCCGTGCCTTCCCTCTGACTCCCACCAGGCTCATCTCTGTGTGGGTCCAGCTTGTTTTCCTTTAACGGAAGGAAAAAAGTGAAGAAACCCATCCAGCTTTTGCCAAATCGGATAACATCATCCTCCTGTCCCTCGTTATGAAATCAGATGAAGAAGCCACATTTGATAATGGCAAAAGTTCCACCCCTGGTGTAAAATATATTTAACAGGATCCATATTAGCATGAGGAACAGACTCAACCATCACTGCAGATCATCTGCGTATATTTACACATCCAGAGCAAAGAGAAAAACCTTGACTTCAAATGAAACGTATGAAACACCTTGGGGCATAAGAAGCATTTGATCAAAACTCGCTCAATACAAAATATCTTAACGCAGGTGGTAAATACTAAAGCGCATCTGAAGTCTCCATTGAACATGGAAGGACGTCCGCTCTCTTCTGGCTAGAGTCACAGGCTCAGCAAACTGACTCAACTCTGAGCAGAACCACACCTAAAAGGAAAAAATAAATAATATAATGGATATACCAAGCAGCCATAACTTTAAGACCACTCCTGATGTTGCAGCGGTGACAGGAATGCTTTGACCAGTCAGTTCAGCCTGTATTTAACTGGGCCGCGACGGTTGGCAACTAAATGAAGACTAACAAGCTGTACGTCGATTCAAGGTTCTTTATTTGTCACATGTGGTACATGTGGTGGAACAAAATTGTGTACACAGGGTCCCAGTTACATCCAACAAAAGTATAAAATGTAAAAGAAAAACAGTAATAAGGTCTAAGATATGAACTAAGAAAAACGTCAACTAACGTCACCTTCTCTAACCTCTGCACCACCACTCCCCACTGAAGTCCCACTGACATGTTTGCTTAATGCACAATTTTATTAGACAAATTTGTCCACAAATGATTTTTTTTTTCCTAATTTTACTGACAAAATCATCTTAATTATGATCACAATTTAGTCTCAGTGTTGTCTCCAATCAGGCACAGTTTGGTTTCATAGCTCACCAAAAGGGGGTTTCTCACTGAGCTGTCTGTTGGGGAACGCGTTGGTGAAAAGAAATTGCAGAAAAATTGAAAAGAAATGTGTCAGTTTTTTGTTGCAGTTAAAGCCTGTCTGTTTGCAACACAAAAGTGAAACTACGCAACTCACATGAGAAAACTGAGAACCCTCTTAGACGCTCCGAGGCATTTTGCAAAGATCCTCAGATGGTTGCAGCCCAGTCAGATCCAGACCACGGGGTCTCGGTGTATGCAGCTCGCTTCCCACTGATACCCTCAACTCCCATCACATTTTTACTGGGTGATCTTTTTATGTTCTTTGAGCAGAACTCCACAGCCCCTCCAACCAGTTTCAGTTACTGCCAACACGTAATAATTTATAATTTGATCATAATCTATGCTTTTTAAACTGAGCTGAAGCACAGCAGAGAGGAGCCCGTAAACTGTGCTGGTTTAAATTTTTAACTAAATCTACTTTCCCCTTTACTGGCATCATGTTTTCTGGGTATGATGCAGCTGGAGGTAATTTTAGTATTCCAAATTTGTGTTTTTAATAGTTAAAACACCTTCAATTTATTAAAAAAAAAAAAACTTTCATGTAGACCCAAGTATGTTGAAAACTAGAACTAATTATTCTGAGTCTGCTGTGGAGGAAGATGTGGGTTAGACTGAAGGCTTTGTTGAATAAATCATGTTTAAGGAGTTTTATGATTCCATCCAGGGATGACGTGCAGCAAATATTAGCAGAGAGAAGCGTTCCAAGAGGTTGAGCTGCAGCCTTGAAAGCTCCGTCATGGAAAGTTTGCAGTCTGGGGTAAAGAATGAAGAACAAGCCAGCGTCACGGATGAAATGCAAGAACCAAGGAGGTCAGAGAGGAACAGGGCCAAGGAGGGATCTGCAAATGAGGATGATTTTTGTCATGGATTCATAACCTAATTAGAAGCACTGCAGAAACATCTGGAGTTCTGGTAGTGCTCCATTTCTTCTGTTGTCTCTGAAAGAAGGGACGTGGTAGAAGAGCATCCACGTGTGTTCAACTAAATCTGAGAGGTTGATTCCGATCTTGGATCAAACTCGAGCAGAGAACATTTAAGACTTTTGGATCAGATTTGCGGGCAGCACGGTGGCGCAACTGGTAGAGCTGCTGCCTCTCAGCGAGCAGGTCCCTGGTTCAAACCCCGGTCCAGGGGCCTTTCTGGGTGGAGTTTGCATGTTCTCTCCGTGCATGCGTGGGTTTTCTTCAGGTGCTCCAGTTTCCTCCCACAGACCAAAAACATGCATGTTAGGCTGATTGGTAACTCTAAAATTGTCCCTAGGTGTGAGTGGGAGAGTGAATGGTTGTTTGTCTCGTTTGTCTCTATGTGTCCCTGCGATGGACTTGCGACCCGTCCAGGGTGTACCCCGCCCATCGCACAGTGATTGCTGGACATGGGCACCGGCGACCCCCGTGACCCAAAATGGAATAAACGGGTAAAGATAATGGATGGATCA